GTCGGCTTGATTCAGCAGAACTGGTAGGCTTAAGCTTCAAAGGATCTCGCTGAAATTTGAGCCAGAAGTGACTTGGTTACAATGCTTTCTTAAGAGTCCGATTTTCCTCAGTTCTATTGTATCAGTGATAACTGACCAGACTGCATGGACCAGCCACAATATTGACTGGGATGCAACTGAGGAACTAGCAACAGGACAAGAGAATCTCAAGGAGGCTAGATACATCGTTTTTAAAGTATCATGATAAAGAGGAAATCAAAATATAGATGATTCAGTGAGAATTTTGCTCACTATTTAGGCGAACTTGTGTAAATTCTGGACTCAGTAAAGTAAGGTTAAAGAGCACGCTTGTGTCGAAGAAACCTATCGAACAATAACTTATCATTAAATGCGACTTTCAGGATCTAGACCTTATTTAATTCCATTTGGTTATAGCAGCGGAGATCGGGAATATAATCTAATGGCCCCGAGTGATGGGGATGGACCATGGCAAAATACTTGATACCCACTAATCCATGTGCATAAATAGGTTAAATTGAGACTTCGCAACTTGGTCTTGTGGTCAGGTTGATTTGGTGGAACGAATATATTCCCAAGTCCTCTGCCATAATAATTATCATAATGCCCAGCATCAAACCGTGGAATTGGTACATTGGCAGACGTCTCGCCGACATAGTAATCGGCATCATCAGTGAGCTTTGCCATTCTCCGCACCAAGCTACGAACTCGTCAAAGAGACAAGTAAAGCCAATCCCTCGACAACCGTTCTGCCAAAAACGGTTACACTATCACACATCTTTCTGTACTTGCCTATATATCTACTCTTTTGGCAAACCGAATGTGGCCTAATCACACTTGCTATTAACTCCGACTCATCTCATTCGATGGGCTTATCCGACTCAGCGCTTCAATCCCGATCCTTTCATTGCCTCATAGATCCGTTCCTTAACTTTATGGTTGACCGATTTCACTTTAACTAGTCCCTCTGTGCATTTCCCTCCAAACGCCATTTCTCAAGGCCCTAGAAGCACATGCACTGCGGCTTCGCTGAGCAGAGCGCTTAAGCTCTGAATCCCATGCTTACAGATATCAGACCTTCCTATCACGGGTCCTCTCCATGATTAAACCCATGTTATCTGAGCCACCAGGCTTCTATTCAGAAATTAAGTGAGACATATGATACTGAACTTCATAAGTTGGTTAAGTTTATAGATATTAAGTCAAAGATCCGGCGTGATTTGGCCAGAATCCTGTCTCCGTACGATTTTCAAAAACTCCAAATCATGACCACAGGAAATCACGTAGGATTTCTGACTTGACGACAAAACGGCATGACGACAAGTTACGTAAGTTTGGGATTATTATACAGCCTAATTTAAAGTTAGTACGCCCAGTTGAAGTGGTTTCCAAAGTGACAACATTTACTGATCAGCACGGGTATAGTAAGAAATTTGTAAACTTATCATCAATTCCTCTCAATCCCGAAACAACCGCGTTCATGGAAAGAGGACTCAATTTTTCAATTCAACATCACAGGAGCCTTCTAGGAGACATTCTGGTCGAGGTTATAAATATCAACGACAAGTTCCCTGAGGAGACAAAACGGGAAATGGAAATAGAACTAATTCCAAAGATCTTGACCCATCAGG